TTAACCACTTAATAGTTAACTTCATCAAGTATCAATTCTCTTATATTCTATGTGTATATATATGTATATATATACATATATGTCTAGGGCTATAATATAAATCGGAGAAGGTTTAAATATTCTTCAAAAAGATTTAAGGGTAATAAGAGTTGAAGTTGTTCAATCTTAGATGAGACTTTAAATAAGCTTTCACTCACTAAACTTACAGTTTATAAGCTCGTGAGCAAAAAATCTTTAAAAATTTTTTTGGAAGTTCATAACAAGTTTTTTTTTACAAACAATTTATTAAGTCATTTCCTATAAATATAAGTTTTTAGATTAATTTCAAAAATTATTTAACATGATATCAGTGTTAGATTTATTGTTAATACATATTATTAAGCTGATAGAGTATATGTTAGAGAATAAATAAATAATTAATTAAATAATTTCTTGTCAACTTAAATATTTATTATAGTGATTGTAGCCTATTATTCAAGACTTCTAACATAACATATGACACTGCCTTCTTCATATATTTGTTATGTATATGACTTTGTCTTCTTTATAAAGACTTATGTTGGCATTGTACATATATTTTTGTTCACATTGAATTTTTCATCTTCCCAAAATACTTATACATCAAATATTTTTTGGATCAAAGTCTTTTACATTAAATTCAATCACTTCTCGTGAGAACTAAAACTAATGTAGGATAGATAGATATATATGTATATATATATATATTTAAAAAGTTGGATATTTGTCAGCAGAAACTTTTTTTGTCGAAAGCAATGACTTTAGTTATGGTGTATTCAAAATATTTGGAAAGAAAAAACAGTTCAACTCGTCCAAGTATGCATATTCTTTCTCTCTACATGATATATAAAAATATAATCTTAATTATCACCTGACAAGGTTTACCATTTCTTATATAGACACCCTGTGGAAAGTTATTGGGAATTGCTCCTTCAATGGTGGAGACCACGACAGCTTCTCCCAACTCATCAATTGGAGCAAAGTTACTCTGCACGTACAAAAAACATCAATATATTATATATGTATATTCTACAAAAATCTCCCTTGCAAGTATCCACATATGAATATGGTAACCTGAGATGGCAGCAATGGCTGATCAGAGAATTTGAAAACAGAATCAACAAATGCATTCACCAGTCCCACACAAGTGTTCTTCATCGTTCCACCAAAATCAACATGCATTGACAGTTGATGAACCTCTCTTAACAATGTCTGTTAACCAAGAATTAGTAGGTAATAATATATTTACTGATTTAAGGAGCATATTGAAAAATTATTAAGCAAAATTTAGAGTATACCAAATATATTTACTGAATCTTTTAACTTAACTTTGTATTTACGAAAGAAGTAATAACTTTTTAAATGGAATAATATAGTAATTACCTTGAAAGTGGAGGGCAATAAGCGAGTGATATGATGATTGTTATTGGCTGACATCCGGGGTGTTTTAGCATAACAATTCACTTGCTGAAATGCTGCATATGAAGATGACATCTCTTTCTCTCCCTCCCAACTCTAATTGTAACTTCAATTATAACCCACCAACCCCTAAATGCCTACTACTGAAACTAAAGGGTTAAGAACACCCTACCCTTTCACATAATATATACTTTTGATATGACAAACAGAAGTTGGGATGTGGATACTAAAGCCACGTTTGTTTCTGAATGAAATAATGCCCAGGGCATAGTCTGATATGACATGAGGACAAATTGGATAAGGGAATCAAAAGGTACCATTGTCCTCTTTCACAGGGCATCTTCTAGTCTAAAATTCCTCCTCTTTTGTTTTTTTGTATGGATGTATTAATGGAAACTGTACTGAAACCTGGGTTTATTATAAAAAAAGTAGAGCAAAGATTATTTAATCTTCAAAGTATTTATATCATGTTAACATCACATTCGGATCAGAAAGCCACCAAATCAACGAAGCTTTTTTACCATGCATCTCTAGATACATAACAATAGAATCCACAAAACAGCATGACTAAATCACCTATAATTATGACGAAAATGAGAATTAGCTCCCAAAGCATAATATAAATTCAACAATAATAGAAAACATCAGCTCAAAAAATGTTATGTCTTGGTGATAAGTTCACTTTTCACTCAGTACTCATTCGAACACTATATATCTATTTATTAAGATGTCGAACTTACATTTTATTCGTGTACTCTCGAACATTATAATTTCTAATGTTTTTTTCAAAATTTTCTTACAATGCTGCAAAGTGTATAAATAAAATATTATCAACTTTTTTTCACTTAAAACATAAATTTATAAATAACAAATATTCACTTGGAGTTGTCCACATAAGTTCTTTAAACTCAACAGAGAAGTCGTCATTGGTAAATGAAATAAGACCCTTTGTTCCTATAGATAATTTATCTCATACGCATTGCAATTAGCATTAGAAAAAAAAAAAGAAACAGTGAAATCCCTACATATCATGTTGTATACACAAATATATATAATTATACATATTGGGTAATCTAGATGCTTTACTCTATAAACTGAAGATCTACCTAATACAAGTGATAGCCATGATCAGAGCTATCAATATCCGAGTTACTCGTAGAATCCCAACTCACTTTCTTCATCATTCGCATGTCTTCAAGGCGGCTAATGCTACTACTAGGACTTCTATCATTTCTCTTCTGTTTTCTGTTCCTCAACTCCGATTTTCTAAGCCAGTGCTTTATAAGCAAGATTCCAAGGCCAACAAATATTGCTAAAGTACAACCTCCCCCAATAGACACTAAAGAAGCTAGCACCCAAACTGTTCCACGCCCATTTGGCAAAATTGTCCATATTGCAGCAATATAGGCTGAAGCCATAAATGAAGTTGATACCCACATTACCTTATGAGTCACTGTAAGTAATTTCATCATGGACTTTCGTTGAAAAGGGATAATACTAAGCAGAAATATAACTATACCCAGAGAAAGAAATAGTGCAACAATGTTACACACCATAAAGACCTTAAATGAGGTTTGTTTACCCATTATACTCTTTCCTGTTTCTTCGTCAAAACCTCCAGGTGGATTTATACCAGCAGCAAATGCTACTGTGGCTATTAAGACTGCCACAATAGTGATAGTGTTGCGTGCATTGCGCAATCCCTCGTTTTGGAATTCAAATTGCTTTTCACGGCGACGACTGTGGCCACGACGATGGTGGCGACGTTGGCTCGAACATTCAGATATCTTATTTCCTCTAGTTTTATGTATTTGCTGAGTATCTAGCAAAAAAGATGGTAATTGGTTGCATCTTTTAGCTCCTGCTTCTAGTAAGGCTGGTACAATGGCAAGAGCACCTGAGTTGCTTTCGTCTAATTCAACCACGTCGAGAGCCGTGTATCCACGACGATTTGTTGCATTTACATCAACACCAAACTTGAGCAGGAAAGTAATCATCTATCATAATGCAAAATACCATAATCAGAGTGAAAATAAAATTAAGTCCTACAAGTTTTTTCTTACCTGAAAAAAAGAAGACAGAGAGCATGAATCTTGAGGGCTAAATACTTTTTTATAAGCAATATTAATTAATTTAATCCACAAACAACCTATTATTAATAATTTGAGATAAAATATAATTTATATTGAGGAAGGTAATGGGAAAAAGAAGACTTTTTCCTCTTTTATCATAATTATTAAGCATAATTTGTAAGTTAAATATACGTAAAAAAAAAAAAATTAACTAAGGTCTGCTGAAAAGGCCAACCATAACCATTAAGAAACTGGATAAGGCTGCACATAAAATTTCTTCAGAAAAAATAATGGTGGTGGAAGGGTTGTCTATAAATATAGTCATTTGCTAGTTTTCTGGAGAATTGAGCCCCAAAAGTTTGTATAATCTAGCCTCTCAATACTTTGTGATTTGAAGTTCTTGTAGTGAAAAGCTCCTTCTTCATTCTTAGCTTAAAGGCAATTAATTTAACCCAAAATTATATCCAAACATTTCTTCAGTACATAATTTAGCCAAAAAATCCAGTATTTGAGCTAATCATTTCTAAACACATTATAAAAAATAATAATCTTTCTTACATCGAAAAACTACTCATGACCTCAAGTAACAATGAGCTTATTTTCAATAAAGTATGCAAAAACATTGAGTTTTCTTTGTCAGTAGATAAGTAAATCAATGGTTACCTAAATTTTGGCTTCACATAATTCTACAGATCAATGGGAAATTTTATTTCAACAATTTGGAGGTTATGCAAAATTATTTTCTATAGGCTATATAATTTTTTAGTGGGAGTTTGAAAATTCACTCATGACATATAACACACACACACACACACACACATATGCAAAAAAATTTCTTTACAGGTCATACGATAATCAATGTAACCATGAGCTATGGAAACACAGTTAAAAACAAAAAAAAAATTGAGAAGTCTACAAGCAAAGTTTAAGCATATAGTAGCAACAACCCAACAATTCAAAGACTTGTCAAGGTTCATTCTAACTGAGCTGCTAGGATTTCAATAGAAGGTGAAGTATTCCAAGTAAGGAATCAAAGAGTTAATCATGAAGATAAAGAAAACAAAAAAGATTTCAAACAAAAAACACAGTGCATGTTATAAAGGTCATGGAGGAAATTTCACGCCCTCAACAAAAAAAAAAAGCTTTTTGAGTTGAAGTGCACCCATGATGTGTGAACCAACTTTATACTTCTATTAGAATTTTCTGTCTTGAAAAAAATAAAAAAAAAAAGAGTTATGATCAAAGAACTTACGGCAGTGAGTTTTCCTGCAGTTGCTAGATGCAATATCGTGTTGCCGTCGCTGTCGGGAAAGTTGGCAAGTTTTGTTATATTAAGCCTCTCAATTAAGTACTTGATAGTATCATACTGATTATTCTTGACGGCAAGATGAAGAATTGTATCTCCATTCTTGGTTATAAGCTCTGCAAACTCGAGACTCCATGAAAGTATCTCATCGATGATATTGACTCGGCCTTTGATGGCTGCTAAATGCAAAGGTGTCCTGCCATGGCAGTCTTGTAAAGTGCAGAAATCAGCATCTAATTTCAGTAGTTCTCTGGTTATATCTAAGTGGCCTTTGCTGCAAGAAATGTGCAAAGGTGTGCAGCCGTTTATGTCTCTCTTCCAAGCAAAATCTGGCCGGACCTTGAGTATTTCCTTCACAATCTCTGAAGTCAACGCATAGTCAGGAGATGGTTAACTACTAAAATTACCTTTCTTTTATATTTGATAGTTAATTAAAAAAATTACACCGACTCATATCATGTTAGTTTAAATGAATACATATACATAATATATATATATATATGTCTATATGTATGTATATACTTACTCTGTAATGAATCCATACATTTATATAGTTACCTTAATCATTCCCTTTAATAGGAGGGTCTAATACACAGAGCTTGTGCATTTCTAGTTACTTATATTCTTACTCTAAAAAATAAAATATATTAAATGGAGTTTGGAAGACCCAAATAATCTTTACCAACATTTATATATATATATATATGTACATAATATGGTCGAATTTTTGGGATTAAATTACGTAGTGAAAATTGATTTTTGGGGTAAAATGCAAAGAAAGTAAAATTTTGAGGGTTAAAAGGAGAAATCAAGAAATTAGAGGGTTAAGAAAGAAATTTGAGAAAATTGAAATAATGATATTATAGAAGGGGCTTACAAATAGCAGAGAGGGCTCAGCAATTTTGTTCATGCAACTACTTCGGGTTTTTTTTTATCTTGCTACACTACATCTATACACATATACATGACCGACTTCGTCTTTCTCTCGAGAACTTTCTACACATCTTCTCATTCTCTCCATCGCCACTTTCTTGGTCTTCTTTTCATTGTCTCAATTTATCATCATCCCAGAATTTTCATCTCAACCATCATTTTGATTTTTCTTCTTTCTACGCCCCTTTTACTTTGTCATTTGTTCACGTATTCTAAATTCTTCAATTTCTCTGTTGAAAATGCTTTAATGTCTCTTTAATGCTCACAAACTCTAGTTGAATTGATAAAGTAATATCACAACTCAATGTGCTTCATTCTGTTGTGAAAAATGAGATTTTCGGTCATAGTGAAGGTAGACATGTTGCCGCAACAAATAATTATTGGATTGATCCTTCTTTTATTGCAAGTCCAACAAGATTCTTCTAAGTCATATTACTTCATGTGTTGTATCACTTATCGCGATATCTTCCACTTATGCTAACGAAATAGCTATTCTTTTCTATTCTTAGATGATAATAAAATCATTTTAGATTTCTTATAAAATAAATATCCAGATGTGCTCTTCGGATCATTAATCGAACCTGCCAAGTCATCGTAGGTGTAGCTAGCAGGCTTTTTTTCTTGTTCTTTGACAAAACATATTCTAACATTTTTCATACCCTATAAGTACTTTAAGGTTCATTTTCTTATTGCATAATGAATCTTACTTGGGTTTTGCATGAAGCTAGAGATTAGATTAATTGTATAGGATATATCTAGTCTACTGTATGTCAAGTAAATTAATGTCAACTAGGCTTCAAGT